AGAGGAGAGAGAGTGGGGCACACGGAGGAGAGAGACTGGGGCACACGGAGGAGAGAGACTGGGGAACGTGGAGGAGAGAGTTTGGGGCACACGGAGGAGAGAATCTGGGGCACATGAAGGAGAGAGACTGGGGCACACAGAGGGGAGAGTCCCCACGCTGGGACCTGCCGCCGTCCCCTGGAAGGTTTGAGATGTCACAGGAGTAGGTGTTGTGAAACTCCCTGTAGATTCGACTTCATTTCATGGTGAGGAATAAAAAACATCCTATCTAATAATAGACAAACTTGGTAATTAAATGTACCTTCCCTACCATCGCCATTAGCTGATCAGCACAATATGCAAATTAACCACCAACAAAGATGGCGGCTAATTTGCATAGTGCAGGCAGGGTGGGACCCCAGGAGCCGCCATCCAGGCCCCTGTGTGCAACCCCAGGAGACACCGGAAAGCCAGGCCACAGGCTAGGTGGCCCCCCAGGACCCAGGAGCCACCTTGCCTGCCGCCTGTGATCATGATCGTGATCGTAAAGCCGGGCTCTCCAGCTGGAGCAAGGAGCAAAGACTGAAGGTTCCAGCCACAGCAAAGACTGTGTCCAGAGTGAAGATGGAAGGCGGTGGCCAGAGTGAAGGTCTGGGTCCTGGGTGCCAGAGGAAAACTGGTGCTGGCAGCCAGGGGAAAGGCCTATTGCACAAATCTTTGTGCAATGGGTCTCTAGTTTGTAATAACCAATAAATATATATTACAGGGCACAGTGCAGTTTTGAATTCATTTTTAAAACAAGTGAAACTTTCCATGGGATTGTTGAGGGCAGTGGGTTGCCATTCAGATCCCCTCTCGGGACCAGGTACTCCCATGGCCCCTCCCACCCCTCAACTTCCCTCTGGCTGGGAGTTTTGGCTGTTGGTGAGGCAAGGCTGCCTCACTCTGTGGGAACACCCTCAGCTAAGGGAGCCACCTCTCCGACATCCCACACCCATCATGTAGTTCATGTGGGGGCACAAAGTCCTGTAACCTGCAGGGCCAGAGTCCCCCCCAGAGGATCTGCTGAGGCCTCCTTGCAACTATATCCCTACTCAATTTTCTCTCTGCCCATCCCCCCTCCTTGCACATGTAAATCCTGCACATGCACGTCAGCAACTGCTCCAGGGAACAGGACCTGTGACAGTCCCACAGTCCACAGTCCTGGCAGCAGCCTTCTCCATTCATTCATCTTCTCCCTCCCACTTGGGGGGTGTGTTTGAGAAGATGGGGGCTCAGCTTGCTCTGGGCCAAACCTGCCATGGTTGAGGGGTTCCTGGGAAGTGCTCTGGGCTGGGAGTTCGGAGACCCAGACTTCCATGTCTCCCCCAGCCCCTAGTTCTGCAGGCATCTCCTCACTCCAGCTGTCCATCAGCAACATAAAGAGCCCAGGCCAGAGCAGAGGCCACCTGGGTGTGACCCACAAGGCAGATCTGACCCCCGGCACGCGTGCTTGCTCTGTGAGGAGTGTGAGAGAAATAGGACTGCCTGCTAATTTTGAAGTTGGGTGCTTCACATGAAAACCTCGGTTTGCAGCTTCTCTAGAGCAGGCGGGAGATTCCCCACGTGTCCTGTCTTTCTGCTTGGCTACGCTGGGCATGGGGAGGCCCCTTAGATGCCATCCTGGGTGCTTGACATCATCTTCTTTCCTCTGAAAGCAGTTAGTTTCCCAGTTTTAGTCTAAGGTGTACATAGCGACTTACATGCACTGTGAAATGACTACTGCAATTAGTTTAGTAAACATCCATCATCTCATATGAATGCAAAAAAAGGAAGGATTGGTGTTTTCTTTGTGATGAGAACTTTTAGGATCTGCCCACTTAAGAGCTTTCAAGTGCACCACGCACACTGTTAGCTACGGCGCCAAGCTGCACATCACCCTGTGGCTGCTTCCTCTTACAGCCAGAAGTCTCTCCCTTTGGAAAACCTGCACCCATCCCCCACCCTCCACTCATGCCTCTGATGGCCAGATAACCACAAATGTTATCTCTTTTTCTTAAGCTCTGTTTCCAGATTCTACATATCAGTGAGATCATCAGTATTTGTCTTTCTCCGTCTGACTTATTTCACTTAGCACAATGCCCTCCAGCTCCATCCATGTTGCAAATGGCTGGCTCTCCTTCTTCCTTATGGCTGAATAATATTCTATTATTTTGCTTATGCCACATTTTGTTTATCCATTCATCCACCAATGAACCCTCAGGCTCTTGTAAAGAATGCTGCAGTGAACATGGGGGCACAGACATCTTTTCGACATGATGGTTTCATTTCCTGTGGGTGTATGCCCAGAAGTGGGATTGATAGTTCTATTCCTAATTTCTTGAGGAACCTCCATACGGTTTTCCATGGTGGCTGCACCAATTCACAATTCCACCAACAGATCTCAAGACCGTTCCTTTTCTCCACATCCTCACCAACACTTGTTATTTCCTATCTTTTTGATGACAGCCATCCTAACAGGTGTGGGGTGATCTCTCCTGGTTCTGATTTGCATTTTCCTGATGATTAATGATGTTGAGACTTTTCCATGTCTGGCCACCTAGGCGAGATGGTCTCTAAGGCCCTTTATAGCTCAAAAAACCTGTGATGTTGGTGCCCAGATTTCAGTTCCTTTGTTCCTGTTGTGTTTGCCAAGTGCTTTTCATACGTCCAATCTTCAGAAAGCGGGGTCAGAGGAAGACTGCCCTTCCCTAGGATCCTGAACACGGTATCGCCAACAGCTCTTCTCTCACTCCCAGCAGCTCACATGCCTCTAACTAGCTCGGCTTCCAGAATCAGCTGCGAGGCAGGCCAGTGGTTTCCATATCTGGTCACCGCAGAATCACCAGGGAGCTCTCAGAGGAAGCAAATCCACAGGCACTACCCAGCCCCAAGATTCAGACCAGTCGGTGAGGGGCGAGGTTGGGGCCTGCATTTTAACAAGCACTGGGGCGTTCTGACAGATGAGGTCCTTACACCACACTTCATTCTCTTCCAGCGGCCTCAGTAGTCAAGAGACATGTGTCAGAGGGAGACACGTGGGCGCACTCCACAGAGCTCCAAATCCCTGACTCACTTTCCTCCAGAAATGAATCTCCTGGGGCAAAAGGAGCCAGCCTCTTGTCCATCCAGCCTCATTTAACACCAGGGGTCCCAGTAGTCAGCTCAAATGTATCTGTCTTGTTACTGCTTGGCCAATATCTGGTTGTTATGGACTGAATGTGTGTATTCCCTCCCCCATATTCACATGTTGAAGCCGAATTCCCCAATGTAATGGTATTAGGAGGGACTTTTAGGTGATTAGGTCACAAGTGTGGAGCCCCTATGAATGGGGTTAGTGCCCTTTAAGACTCCACGGAGCTTCCTTGCTCCTTCTGCCATGTGAGGATGCAGCGAGAAGACGGCTGTCTATGAACCAAAGAGAGGGCTCTTACTAGACACCAAATCTGCCAGCACCGTGATCTTGGACTTCCCAGGCTCCAGAACTGTGAGGAGTTAATTTCTAATGTTGATAAGCCATCTAATCTATAGCATCCTGTTATAGCAGCCCAAATAGACTAAGACATTGGTCAGATGCTGAACATGGAAAGAAACATGGATAATTTTCATGCCTTGCGTAAGTGAGATGCATTAATGCAACAGTCAAAATCCAGAGCAGGAGCAGAGGCCTAAGGCAAACCCCCATCCAGGAGGAAGGTACTCACGGGTGTGTGATGCGCCTGAAGTTGGCGAAGGGACCCTGGATGCGCTGCCTCAGCTCCTGGGCCCAGCGGAGACCCCCGGCCACTGAGGGCATATTCTTGTGCACCGGGGAGAAGCCTGGAGACACAGCACAGCCAGACTGAGTTAGGCCTGACTTCCAGCCCCTCTGCCCAGGAACACCCTGCCAGCTAGTCCACATGCTGAAGTCACCCTGTGCTCACGGGAGATGGGAGTTACTGGAGGCCACTATGCTCGCCTAAGGAGTAAGAGTGGCCTTGGGGAGAGCATGGGACAGGGTCAGAAGACAGGGGTCACTCCCAGCTCTGCTACTCACTGGCTTTCTAACTTCACATCAGTGACTTTCAACCTGGCTACACATCTGCATCATGTGGGGGTCTTCAAAAAGACTGACACCTGGTTCTGCATTCAATTGGTTTGGGCGGGGCCCCGTCATTTGTATTTTGTGAAAGCTCTCCAGAGGATTCTAACTGTACAGTCAGGGTTGAGGAACTCTGCCTTAACAGACAATTAAATCTCTCTGGGCCTCAGTTTTTCCCTTGGTAAAATGGCTTATGTGCGAATTCAATAAGGTTATGACTGAGCCAGGCCATGCGGATGACGAAGTGCTTGACCAGGGTTAGCAGCGCCTGACACCCTTACTTTACTCCATGCAGTGTGTCAGTTTGCTTATCTGAGTTGTTGAGATTTCAGTCATGAGATTTTGTTTTTAAAAAATTAGTGTCCTCAACCAAAGGACTTATATGCATACATAATAGAATAAACAATGGACACAGACACTGGGATGGTGGGGGCTTGCCCGGGATGGGAGTGGCTGGCGGGGGGATCAATTGGGGAAAAAGGAAACATATGTAAAACTTTAGACAATAAAAATCAAAATCAGGAAAAAAAAATTAGTGTCCAGCTTTCTTAGTAAAATGGGAAGATCTGGCAAATACCAGCCTCCACATCTACCCAGCAGCTGGGGCTGAGCAGTGGTGTCTTCCTTTCATCGTCATGCACTCCACTACTTTCCTCCTGTCTCATGCGAGCACAGACCTATGGTCCACAGCATTCTAGACACCACCAAGTGGCCCTCACCCTGACACAGTCCTCTCCTCATTCAGTGTGGGTGGGAACTGCAAATAGGATAAAATATCATTCCTGTGATGAGATGTTTCATGGCAACAAGGAGCAGATCCTGGGTGGGCTGACTTACTCAGACGAGCCACACACAGACACAGAGTTTTCTCTGGTTGGTGGCAGAGGGGGATAAGGGAGCTGAAGGGTGAGGAGAAGTCAGTGTGCTGGATGATGGAGGCAGCCCCTAGCCTTCCCGCATGGCAGGATAGGGCGTGCCCCCAGTGACAGCCAACAAGGAATAGAGACCTCAGGCAGATAGTCAGTCACCAGGTACTGGATCCTACCAACAAAAATGAGCTCAGAAGCGGATTTCCCCACCACTCCCGAGCCTCCAGATGAGAAGTCAGCCCAGCTGGCACCTCGATTTCAGCCTCGTGATACTCTGAGTGGGAAACCAAGGCAATCAGGCCAGGCTGCTGGCCTACAGAACTCTGAGCTAAAAGATGGGCGCTGGCAGGCCTCTGAGGCTGCGCTAATTTGTTATGCAGCAAGAGAAAACGAGTGTGGCCTCCTAAGGTATTTGAGATTTCAAATTCTGTATGTGACCAGATGTCATGAGGACGGCCCACATGAAGGTGAGGCCAGCAGGTCTTGGGGAATGACTTCCTAAATGGACACAATTCTAAATGACCTCAGTATGAAACCTGTTTATAGACATGCTGGTCTTGCCACTCTGTAACTTAAAACCTGTGGAAAATTTCCTATTACCTGAACACGGGGTTCCAGATTCCTTAGGGTGGCACTCAGAGGCCTTCACAGTCTGGCCCCGGACTCTGTTTGCCCACAGGAAGGTCCACCTGGTACCTAGCAATACTCTCCTCTCGTTTCTCTGGAGACCTTTGCTTCTTCTTGCTTCCCCTCTCTCACCTTTCATGGCTCAAAGCCCTCTTCTCCACAAACTCCCCCCGGATATCCCAGCCACCGTGTATCTTGTTTTGTTACAGTTCTTTATAACTCGAGTCAGGGACTACTTATATTCTGCTAGGTAACTGCTCCTACCTGGTGTGTCCCTTAAAGAACCAGGCCATGGCCATGTGGACTACGAAGTGCTTGACCAGAGTTAGCAAAGATTGGACATTCTTACTTTACTTATTTTGGTATGAATTGCTTTACCCCTTACCCTGGTTTCCCTCTGCATCTCGTGCCCATACATGTGTCCGGCATTTAGCAAAGACTCGAGATATGTTTGTGAAGTTGAATTGAACTTGTGTTTGACTTTCAAACAGGTAAGACAGGGCATCTAAGAATTGCAATAAAAACGGAGACATCACACTGTGGTTGGTACCGCCCATGTCAGGCTCCTGCTGGTTCCTTCCTCCAGGAGTATGGTTGCTATGGCATTGGAAGGATCAGGAAAGGAAAATAAAAGTCTACCGTGGAATTGAGACATGTTGAAGATTAATCACTGTGGCAACATTGACCAGGGGTCAACCCAGCTATTCGGCTAAGGTCTCAGCTGCCCACAGGCTGTCAAGGCTTCACTGCTCTGAGCCACCCTGCCCACCTCAGCCCCGGATACAGGGAAATGTACAGCTCAGTGGACTCTACAATCAGCCAAATTCTCTGGATTATCTACAAGCTGTCCTTGCTTTTATTGGAGAATGACATAGATCCATAGTAGACATTCAACATATACAAGAGGATTGAGTTTCACCCCTCCCAGCAGTAGAGCTCCCCCATCCAAATCCCTGGCAACCAGCCTACCAAGTTCTGCCTCCTCCTGGACACGCTGACTGTAGATTGTCCTTACTGTATCCAATTCTTTGTTAAACATCTGGAGGAGCATCAGGTACTTAGCAGATGCATCTTGTGCTACCAGTGGTCTTTCGAGGAGGTTGCCTGCTATGTCTAGCAGCTGCAGGAGAGATGGAGAAAGAAGAGGAGAAAGTCACAGATTCAATATTTCCAAGGTTACATAAGTCTTCTTTCCTGGCCTTTCTTTCATATGCCTAGCAATGTAAGAAGGTCAAACAATTGTTATTATGCTACTGGATCAATAGTTATTAGTAGGTGGATATTCATCGACTGCCTTCTAAAGGAGGATTCCTGTCTGCTAAGTTATCTATTGGACCTTTGTGGGATGTAAGAATCTGGATAAAGGGTAAAATAAAGAGAAAACTTAAATTTGTCAGAAAGGTTAAGCTGATCTATATTAAAAACACTATTTAAAAAAAGACCTAGCCCTGGCCAGTGTTCTCAATGGTTGGAGCACCAGCCCCCCTGCACACCAAAGGGTTGCAGGTTTGATTCCCGGATCTGTTGGGAAGCATGCAGGAGGCAACCAACTGACGTGTGTCTCTCTCACATCGATGTTTCTTTCTCTCTCTCTCCCCCTCTCCCTTCCACTCTCTCCAAAAAAATCAATGGAAAAAATGGGTGAGGATTAACAAAAAATAATAATAATAAAATTTTTAAAAGACCTAAAACAGAGAAGGAGGTTGAAGATAGAGAAGGAAAAGAAGAAGCTAAATAGGTTAGGTGTTGAGAATTTGGAAGGCTAAAATTTGAGAGGAGCAAGAAAAAATTCTCAGAGAGACTAATTTCTGAGATCAGTTCAAATGCTTGAAGAGAGAAATCCTAATAGTTTTTCTATGTGAGTTATGGAATGCCAGGTATTTATTAGAGGTTGTACATTTTATAACCTCTAAAATAAGATTTATGTAACAGATACATACCTATATGTAAATAGATAGATATAGATAGGTAGATTCAATGGCTAATGAGGCCTGGCAATTTGGGTTACCCAATATTCCAGAATAGCGTGGATTCTAGTCTATGCTTGGACATTTTCAGGGACTGGAAACTTAACCACTTCTTAAGGAAGTCCATTCCATCTTTAAATGGTTTTGACAGAAATCTCTTTCCTTTATTGAGCCAAAATCAGCCTCCTTGTCATTTTCACTGATGAATTCTGGTTCTAATCCCTAAGGCTTTACAGATATGGCCTCTTCATAGTTTACAGATCTGTCATGTCTTTATGTCTCACAACTCAGAATTCTCAGTTGTGCAGCCATTTAGCTACGCATCATCCTAAACCTTCTCCATATTCTTGTACCAGCTAATCCTGGCGATACAGGGCAAGGGCACATATCTTCTTATTCTAGTTACTGTACTTGAATGCCGTAACCAATTACGGTAAGTGGTTTGCTTCAGCTCGAACCACCCTGACAGCAGGGTTAAAGAGCCATGGTATTGCAAAACCCTGGGTTCAGGATAGTGACCACAGCTGAGCTCTTCACTTTAAATGGATCCCCTACTGATCAGACCCAAGGGGAGAAACTCTTTTGAAAAGTATTTTCACATAATCATGCTTTCAGAAAAGCATTAGTGACCAACCTGAGAAGTCCAATTCTGCGCACTCCCTTGCCTAGCGCACTCATGATCCCTCTCTATTAGACGAAGAACAATTCATATCGGCAGGAGCAAACAGCTGGAAGTGTATCCCGACCCTCTGCTGATGAGGGTGGGGGAGGATCGAGCATAGGGTGGCTCCCTCTCTGCTTGAACGAACCTTAAAGGCGTGCTCCAAATCAGGTGCGTCATCAAAGGCTTGAATAAAGATAGTCCCCAGTCTTCGGTCAAGATCTTCTACTCTCTGGTTAAATTTAGAGACATCATTCTCAAATTCCTGAAGAGACATCACAAAGGCATAGAAAATCATGATATTGCAAAGCCAGTCCCACTATGCTCTCTACTACTAATCTTTGCACTTGAATCATGAGACCAAGAATTTATTTTCATTTCCCAAAATTCACCTTGGCATGACTTAGTCTTCATCCATGTAGACATACAGTTACCCCATGTCTGCTGCATTTTTTTTTTCCCTAGGCCAGCGGTCGGCAAACTGCGGCTCGCAAGCCACATGCGGCTCTTTGGCCCCTTGAGTGTGGCTCTTCCTAAGCCTTAGGAGCAACCTAATTAAGTTAATAACAATGTATTTACCTATATAGTTTAAGTTTAAAAAATGTGGCTCTCAAAAGAAATTTCAATCGTTGTACTGTTGATATTTGGCTCTGTTGACTAATGAGTTTGCCGACTACTGCCCTAGGCAAACTGGTAGAGTGAGTCAAATTGTGAGGTTGGCACCTGTTCATTCTATTTTTGTGCCTCCTCTTTCACCATCAGAAGCCCCTTCTCTATCAACCACAGTGCCAGCTCATGCCACCCCAAAAGCCACCTCAACAGCAACAACCCCAGCAATAGGGCTACCATCATACCTCCTACTTTCCTTCCTCTCCCAAATCTAAATCCTGTTTAATTAGTGTAACCAAACTAATCTAGCCATTAGGAGGGAAGTAAGCTAATTAAACTAATACACACTATTTCTTCTAAGTACATTTTAATTCATTAAGACAACAACTAGCCATTATTTCTAAGGTTGCCAAATTTAGCAAATAAAAATATAGGCTATGCATTTAAATTTAAACTTTGGATAAACAATGAATTTATTTTTAGTATGTGTCCCAATTATTATATTTTATCTGGCAAAGACTGTAGGAATTTTCAGAGAAATTTTGTAACTGAAATCCCTAATTGGTGGAATTATTATTTGTTATTATTGCTTTGCAATAGTAATTCATAGTCTTATAAAAAGACAAAGTAAGTAGAAAATCAGTATAGTTCTACTTCCTAAACCAACTATAGTAACATAATGGTATGTTTTCCTGTGCATAGAATTCTGTTTTTTTATTTGTTTTGTCTTAGAAAATACATGGTTGTCTGCAGAAGATCCTATAGGTACAATTCATAAAAGAGTTAAAATAATAGTAATTATTTCTTTGTAGTATGCCATTTCCCCCTATTCTTCCTTAGAAAGCAAAATCTCTTCCGGTTTGCTAAGATCTCCCTAGGCAACTGAAGGCACTCAGAGCAGATTATCTGCTCTAATTTCTTCCTCCTTTTCACTCACTCACTCTAAGATTCCTTCTCCAGCAACCAGCCATTCCCTTCTCAGGGAACTCCATTCCTTATTTCTGCCTGGCCCCCTTTCTTCTTTTTGTCTCTTGTGGATTTGCACTTAAGATCTCAGCTCTCCTGGGCCAAGGGTAGGGCGTGGGCTCTGTGGTCCAATCATGAAAATGCATGTCTGGCTGTCCTCTCATCCCTGAATACTCCCTTGCAAACCAGAGTCTGATCAGAAAAACGAAGCTCTGCCCCCACTCCCAACCCTACACAAGCAAGACACTAACAGAATTCTGCCTGGATGTGCCTGGTCTGCTCGCTGCCCAAAGCCATCCCATAGCCATCTCAGCATCTCTGAAACCCATCAGTTTGGAGCAGTCAGCAGTTGGAAAAGGTCCTCCCTGATCCTTCTCCTGACACAAAGAATAAGGAGAAGGTCTCCATTCATACAACCCCTGGGACTATAAAGCCAAAGGAAACAGAGAAAATGCAAGTAAAATACCAGGCCCTACAGGCTGGAGGCAGCTGAGAAAGAGACAAAAGTTGCAAGTTGGCCTTCCAAGCCCTACCATGCCTTGGGGGTCCAGGCAGTCGTGGCAGGACTCCGAGAAGACCCTGCACATCTCCTGAAATTCGTGGTCAATTTGCTGGACCTGCTGACTCAGGGCGTTGCCTCTGATGCCACTGAACTCGACCTTCTGCAGGCTGTGAAAGTCCAGTGTCGTCTTCAGAAGGTCCTACAGGGACGATTCACAAGAGGTAAAATAATAATGATGATGATGACAACAGTGGGTAATGCTCACATGAGGATGGGAAGAGCAAGATCAGATGGGGGTGGTGGGTTGCTTAGGAAAATGTGAAGCCTGATTCGTGTTGTAACCATATTATTAGATTGGGTTCATATACATAACTTGGTTAAACTTGATAACGAAGCAGAGAGAAAGTACAGAAAAATAAAACTCACACACACACAAAAAGGTCAATTTTATGCTTTAGCTTTTCTGTGTTTTCTAATAAATAATAAATTATAATAATATTTACATGATTGTTATAATTTTTTAAAAATCAATTTAAAAAAATCAATTTCAAATGGGCCATGTCATCTGGTTCTGGAATGAAGCTATCTTAGGGGATATTGACTGGAAAGCAAGTCCCTCAAATAGTTCTGAGGACAAGCCCAGAGGAGACACCAATGGGCTCAGTAACCACTGCCAAGGAAATCAATGGCGATGCCCTTGCCCAGCATATGCAACACAGTGCCCATGTAGCACTGGGCAACAGGGACAACTACTTGACACCTCTGTGTTGGGTTTCTTCAACTGTAACAGACAACACTAGTGGGAGGTAAGTCAGCCAATGCAGGCTTAGGACTGAGGCCGGTACACACACAGTAAGGGCGTGTCACTGTCACTGTTGTTCACATGGCAGTGCCCCGGCTGTGCTCAGAATTGAGTGACAGGTGGACAACACAACCCAGAGCCTTGGGGAGGAGCCCCCCTGGGTCCATGGAAGCCTCTGCTAGGACAGGAGCCTCCAGAACACAACCAACATGACAGATGGTGGTATTGACCTCATGAACACTGGCCTGAAATCACAAAACCTTCAAACCAAGATGTTTTCCCATCACCACCTCCTGCCTGTGTGCACATCTGTCCAACAGGAAAGGGGAGATAACAAGTACCTTTGTGTGATTTGGGCAAACATTTGGTGTGTATCCCTGGCAGGGGGTCTTCTACCCTGAGGAAGCTTGAGAGACAAGAGGGAGCACTACGTCATGATGTTGAAAATCCGGCAGGTCCTGTCCACTCTAGGAAATTCCCACGGCCAATGGCCACTGCTCCGGGTTGACCCATCAGGCTGGAAGGGGGCGGCCCAGCTCCTTTCTCTCGCCGGGACACCCAGTCCAGCAGCAGTAACAGGCATTGGGAAGTGGTGAGCAGTCTGACTTTCTCCACATTGCCAGCATCTAGCAACCTTTTCCTGCTCACCTGTGCTCAGGCACAGCTGTCAGCAAGCAGCCGAAGTGGGAGAGGAGAGAAGAGGCAAGAACCAACCACGGAAAGAAAGGCCTGCCCCAGAAGCAGGGGTCTTGCCAGCAAAGGCGGGGCAGCGGGGGCAGCCTTCATTTTAAAACACCTTCAACTCTATGCACTGGGGGGAAACAGAAATGAATGGGACTTAAATGAAATGGACTTGAATGTTATTTACATGTCAGTGCTATAGGAGAAGCATATTTGTGCTGTGGAATGTCACCTGGGTACCCATTTTTCACAATTCTGTAGATGTCAATTCCAATATTTAGGAAATATCCTCTAACCATTTTAAAAGACTGATGCATCGTGATATGTTTGATTGCATCAGAAAACTAGATTATAATTTTGTTACACTATTTTATTTCTCAAGAATACTTGAAGTATGATCTTGGATGGTCATGAAGGTATTTCATGACAGACATTAGATAAATATTTAATCATTCTGTTTTCTACAAAAACTCTGATCACCAAAAATAATGAATATTTACATTGCTTAATTTAGCAAACACATGATAGGCAACACATTTTTTGGAGTTCAAAGTCTCAGACCTATTCTTACTTCCCTATTAAGAGACCCCCAATTTTCACTCTACCATTCTCCCTAATCTTTCTCCCCTTACCCTTCATAAGCTTTCTTCAGAGTTTTCGTCACCCTTTGGAATTATAATATGCTACTTGGCATTATATTATTTTTTTTTATTTTGTGCATCTTTCTCAGTGGGTTGTAAATGCCCACAGGTACCCATTATCTTCAGATGTTGAGAAATATTTGTTAAATGAATGAATATATGACTTTTGGCTTTTGACTTACCTACAGCCCCTCCAGGAGAAGGAGAATCTAAGAAATATGAACGCAGAAGCAATTGAGAAAATTAGACAAGAAAGGAGAGTTACAAAGCAAGGCTGACCAGCGTCTTTAAATGCTCGCAGGGCCTTGATCAAGTGCGATGCAGAACCTGATGGTCCTGCTCTAGGGGCAGATCGAAGGCAAATGAGCACAAAGAGCAGATTTGTCCTCAACTAGCAAGTTGAACTTCTAAAATGTCTTATGTTTTCCCTAGAGAAAATGGCAATTTCATGTTATTTCTCTCAATAAAACAAAACCATCTAATGCTTAGAAAAGTCCAACTATAGAATGGGCTGCTAAGAGAGGGATTGAGCTTTCCATCTTGGTGGATTTTAGATATTTGGTGTCAGAGGATTAGAGCAGGTTCCTGATCTGGCAGGAACTGTCTTGCAGTCATAGAAACGTATTTATCACACTGACTGTGACTATATCTTTGATTCATAAAACATTTCAATGTAGCTCTTTTCACCATTTATTTAAAGGTCTCACCAGACAGATAAAAGGCAAGTTAAACAAATAAGAGGTTTAAATGATCATTTTTAACTACCCATTCTTTCATCACAGTAGTAAACACATGAAGTTCGTTATGTCATATTCAGGCTGAAAGGGTCAAGTTCAGGGGGAGAATATGCAGCATCAGGGGTAAAGCCTAGGACAGGGTCCAAAATGCTGGGTTCACATAGCCCTGGCCTGTCATTTAGTAGCCATGTAACTACTAAAGCAAGACACAACTTTTTTAAGCCTCACTCCCTAACCTACATAAGCGTTCCCCAATACCTAACTGGCTGTGGGGTTCTGGAGTCACGTGGACCATGCCCTGGTAGAACTTGAATGAAGGGTAGCCACTGTAATTAGTTATGGTGACCCTGATGTCATAGCTCAGGTTGCTGGATAAGGGACGTGTAATGGCTGGTGCACAGGTGCTCTCTCCAGGTAGCACACAGGGCCTGGACCAGGCTGCTGGCTGGGCTGACTGGGTCCTATTCTCGGGAAACCTGTGCACTTTGATGGAAGGTGGGAGAGGCCTCCGGTGGCTCTGGCCCTGAGGGGGAGAGCCACGCTCGAGATAATGGCAGGTCTCACAGACACAAGCCCATCCTTGAAGGAAAGGTCACCCCACCTATCTTAAAAGAAATGTCTTCAGAATTCATTAAGGAAGAGCACAAAGCAGACATTCACAGATGAAAGTCTCAAAAGGTCATTGTGGAAGAGGCTGTTTTCTCTACCTGACGACAGCGGCCGCCCTTATGCAGCGAGTGGTCTCCTAGTGACCGCATGCTCGGGAGGGCTGAAAGGGAAGCCTGCCCAATTAGGCCTGCGAGGAGGCAGAGGGACCGGGTGCAGGAGGAGCAGGGAGGCGTGTATTAGGGCCGCTTACCACCTCTCCCTGCTAATCACCTGGCATGAAGCCCCAGCAGGAAGTCGCTCTGCCTCCAGTAAATCGCAGCTTTGCAGACATGGCAGAGTGAGAGAGATGAGGGCTCTCTCCAGCTCTTACTTCCTGCGCTGTGTGGAGGGGAGAGGCTGCAGGCAGAAGCACAGGGCTCTGCAGCACCGACAGTCTTATGGCACAAACATGGGCTCAGTTTGGGGAGGTGCATGAGGGGGTGTGGATATGGTGTGTTTGGGGGCTAGGTGTGTGTTGTGTGTATTGTGTGTGTGCATGTTGCATATGTATATGCAGTGTATGTAAGTTGTATGATGTCAATGTGTATTATATATGTAGTATTTGTGTGGAATGTGACTGTGCAGTGTGTGTGCGCCTGTGCTATGTGTCTACTGTGTGTATACATGTGCTGTGTGCACAGTATGTACATATGTATATGCAGTGTATGTAAGTTGTATGATATCAATGTGTATTATATGTGTGGTATTTGTGTGGAATGTGACTGTGCAGTGTCTGTACTGTGTGTGTGCGCCTGTGCCATGTGTCTACTGTGTGTGTACATGTGCTGTGTGTGCAGTATGTATGTGTGCAATGTATGTATGTGCAGTGCATGTGTTGCATGTGCAGTGTGTATACTGTACATGTACACAGTGTGCATACATTTGGTGTGTGTTGTGTGAGCTGGGGCCCCCAGCGGGAAGACAGGGTGAGGGCAGGAGTTAAGAGGCAGCTGAAAGACTCTCTTCCCCTCTGATTTTTGGCTGTTTGTTCAAATTAGAAAGATTTTATGTACTTTTGGGGTTTCCTTAGTAAATCGTAAAGTCCAATATGCCCCTTCCCTGGAATGTGAATTACAGTTTTACCCAAATGACTTATTTAGAAGAACGGCCTGACAATCATGTGGTGAATACAGAGTGTGCAAAGACAGAAGAGAGTGGATATGGCAGAATAAAGCCACAGAACCACTGTGGACCCTCAGAATGGGAGATGGAGGGAAGCAGAGCTCCAGGACCCCCTGGGAGATATCCACATTGGATAAAAGGGCAATTCTTGGAACCATATGCCCGAGTATGAATCCCAGCCGAACCTCTCCGAGCGTGTGGCGATGGGCAATGCCTCACTGTGCTCCTGGGTTACTGGAGGGGTCCTGATGCCTTGATCTTATGATTGTGAGGGTGCAGGCTCTGGCATGATATAGGCTCTCGAAACATTTCTACTCTCCCTTTCCCTGCTCAGGGCTTAGCTCTCTAAGAGGTCAGCTCGGTCGTGGTGGTGGTGAGGAGGATGGTGGTATCCAGAGAATGCAATTATACTCCGCATGCTGCAAGCTGCTGACAACTGCTCAGCAATACACCACACACACACACACACACACACACACACCAGCTCAGCCCACCTTCATTTTAACAGGCACCCAGAGGGGAAGAGTCAATCTGCACAATGAAACTTTCTTGTGCAAAAAAAAGCAACACAAATCAGAGGGGGAAATGTGAGAGAATGATGGAGATTAAAACCAGTCCTTCACAGCATAACTCTGGATGTGAGCACGCAGATGTCATTTTATTAACTTAGCTTAGTGTATTTATTAATTGCAGCTACCCACGTCTCAGTGGCCAATACTGTATTAGAACAGCAAGATGAATACGGCTCGGTTCATGCTAATTCTTTCTGGAGAGCAGCAGATTAATCCCGTTTCAAACAGGCATCGATCACGGAGGTACACAGAATGTTAACTAAAGGGCTACATGAAATCTGCTTGGAGATGATCGATAGCCTGCGTCCCGCTGCACTGAGCTGAGTAGGAGGAGGTGGGGGAGCCAGAGGCCAAGGGGCTGGGGCTGAGCAAATGACTCAAAGATGAAAAAGAAAGAGGAGAGGAAATACTACGACAGGGGGAAGGGGCAGCCACGGGAAATCATGGAAATTCAGGGTGAACAAGGAGCTAAAGGAAACCCAAAAAGAGAGGGCTTGGAAAACAGAGAAGGGAGACAAGTGGAAAGGGAAGGGAGGGGAAAAAGAAAGGAGAAAAGGAAAGCAGTAAAGAAAAGAAATAGTAGACTTTGCCGTAAGAGCAAAGAAGTAAATGAGGAAGAGCTGGGACTGAAGGGAGCAGGAAGACTGAGCATGGAGACATTCGGGTCATCCTCTGATTACAGGGGGCAACTGCCGTTCACCCACCTGCATCTGCGCCCTTGATCCAGAAAGGACAAGCAGCCAAGAGCCGGCCATGTGAGGGCAGTGGCTCCCGGAGACTGTGGCCCTGGCTTGTGCATTTACTGGACAGACCCGCAGACTCGGGCCCTAATGTCAGAACAGTCGTCTATGTGCAGAGGCGCGGCGCTGGCATGCGTGCATCTGCCTGAGGCCCCAGCCCCACGTCATTCCCAGCTGTGCTCAGCTTCACCCCCAGGGCTGCCGCAGGGCAGGAGGTCTGCCAGGCGGTGAGGCAGTAACTCCACCTGGTCAGCCAGGCCTGGGGCAGGTGGGAGCTGGAGGTCTGTCATCTCAGCTAAACAACAGCAAAGGGACAGATATGGACGGTGAGAGGAACACCGTGGGGGAGGGGAAGGGAGGGTGGCTGCGCATCAAAAGCTGTGACAGGAATGTTGCAGAAAAAGGAGGCATTTAGGATAAAGCCGGATATCGGTGACTTATACTCTCCATGGTCCCAGTGAAGGATTTCAGGTGGGCCTTTCATAAGATCTAGCTTCTGGCTTTCTTGCTTAAGACATTTTCTCTGTCTCTATGCTTTTCCTTGTCTTCTCCTCTCCCCTACCCCCCCGGCCCCCCGTAAATTCCTAGTCCAGTTTCAAACTTTATTTCCTTTTCTTCTTACTACTTCCTCAGGCCCTGCTGCATTAGGGGTTCCTCTTTCTTGCTTCCTTGGATATCCTCCATGAATCTACCCTCTCCTGTGCTACGGCTACTGATCTGAGGGCTTCTTACGGGCGAAACTGTATTTCAGTCATCATCGCATCCCTAGGGCCTGGCTCGATGCCTAGAGAACGGCAGTGTTGAATCAATGTTTTGGAAGTGAAATGAACAGATTCAATTTCATACTCTTATCCTCATAATCCCACAGCTTGTGCCACTCATCACAGCCTCTTCCAGACACATCCCCTCTCATCATCCCAAATCCCTGATAATCATAGCCGGAAACAGGACTTCAATTCTTTCTCAGTCTTTTTTTTTGGCTGTTGTTCCTAATCTTGAACTTGACCTTGGGTTTCTTAAATTTTAGAATAAGCATGTATTTTATTTTATTATGTCCACTGTCTTTTCCTCAAAGTTCAATTAGCAAATATAAGAGCTGTAAAGTGTTAAAAGCCCTGTTAACCATATTAAATTCTGGGGATAAAAACTATCAAAAGGAAAAGCTCATGTCTCCTCACCCTGGGCCTTAAACTAATATTCACATTAACTTTTAAAGAATTGGGCAAAGACACAGCTTTGGGCAAAAGTCACATTTCTTTTACACTGGGATTCACTAGCCATGCAGTTTCTGGAGCCACCCTGGGGGTGAAAGAGTGAAGGGCAAGTTCAAAGTAGTAGCTTTGTGGGAGTGGCCAGCTGCATCCAGTTTGGCTCACCTGCCTTTTGCACATCGAACTTTTTAGCAAGAGTTTATTTGAAACAAAGTTTAAAAATTATGGGCAATTTGAAAATCAAATGAATTAGCTGACTGATTCCCTGGGCCTTCTTCCTAAATGAGTCTATGATTCGAGCTGCCTAAACTCCTAATAGAACCACTGCTACCTGGTGATCGATCCAAATGATCAATCCAAATATGTATTGAATCTTATTGTGGGTTCCTCCAACCAGAGGAAGGCTGGCCACCGTGCTGTGTTGGTCATTTTCCTATGCGCTTTCTGGATCCCCGCATGGAGCCGGGAGCCGGAGGTGGGTGGGCACACTCACCTGCACCACAAGCAGGTGTCTCAGGAAGCCATCCAATCGCACAAACACCAAAGAAGACTGGAAATCCCACGCCCTGACTTCCTGGCTCTCCTTGAAGTAAGTGTGGAGATCCTCCCTTCTGTCCTGAAACACCTGCTTGAAGAAGTTCAAGGTGTCCACGACCACTTGCAGTTTTCTCTGACTTTCTTCCACCTCGCTTTTCAGGAGGTCTTCCGGGCTGAGATAATCGGAGGCCTGGAATGCAAGCATTCGTGTCACGAAGCCTGGTTGCAAGTGCGGGACATCCCACAACTCTGCCAACTCCAACTCTGAACTGAGCAATAGCCCAAGTACTTTTTAGAAGCACACTATAGGAAACATGTGACTCCGCCCTCAGTCCCACAGGTGGATTGGGACCTGGGTTCACGCCAAAGAGTCAACAATTGGCTTCGGTATGGGCAAGTGACCAATCAGAGACAAGGGAACACCATGAGTCTTTCGTGGGGCCAGCTGGGGCTGGGCAGGTATTATTTCCCACCTGTTCTTCTGTGACTTTCTGACTTTCTATGGTGAGATAATTTGAGTGCAAGAATTCTCTGAACCATCATTATTTCCCTGTCTCTAATAGACTTGAACTTGGAAGGCTGTGAGGCTGAAGCTGTTGGACAGCCGTCTTCATCACAGGTGTGGGGGGGGAGGGGAAGGCGGGTGGGGCAGAAATAACTGGGTCCTGATGACACCACTATGACCTTGTGGTAAGCCAGGGCTGAAGCCAGACTTACCTTGGACTTTCAAGGTACATGAGCCAATAAATTACCTTTTTTGGTGGGCTTTCCTCACACTTTCAACCAAAAGAGTCCTGGCTGACAAACATGCAGTGACGGAAAAGTGCTAGTCTAGGGATCAAGCAACCTGTCTTTGGCCGGGTGACCTTTGGTGACTTAGTTAAGTTCCTGGAGCTTTAACTCACATCTTTAAATAATAATAATAATAATAATAATAATAATAATAATTTAATGAGGCTCTCCCTGCCTACCTCACAGAGTTCATCTGAAAATGACCAGGATCATAAAGGTCAAAGCAATTTGGAACTTGCAATGTGCCTCATAGATGTTAGTTATTATTAGCTCCTCGTTAAACCCAATCATTGTTTCCTCAGGGTCACAGCTCCTTAGAGGGAAATTAAGCCAATCTGGGGGGAAGATCACCCACACCTCCTTAAGGCTTCCCGTTCTAATCACTGACACACTCCTTGGGGCTTATGCTGGCCTGGTTGATACTACATGGGTCCCTAGAAAGGTGAAGCACACAGTTTGTGATCATAAAAGCTGCTTCTCTGTAGCTAATAGACACCATATTCTTAGCATGTGCAGGGCATGCTGTAAGCCATGCATGCTCACGTCAGAGCCCCATAGTCATCCACTATCCTATGAGATGGTTCTCTTGTTACCACTGCACAAAGAGGAAAGTGAGACACAGAGCAGACGATCAACTTGGCCACGTACACACCGCTAGCAAGTGGTGACACAAGGTTTGGCACAGAGATGTCTGGCACCAGAGATGACATTCCTAACTGTTGGGCTTCACTACTGACTTAATATCAGTCTGGTCCCAGCCTGGTGTGGCTCAGTGGATAGAGCATTGGCCTGGGGACTGAAGGATCCCAGATTTGATTCTGGTCAAGGGCACATGCCTGGATTGCGGGTTCAATCCCCAGGAGGGGGCATGCAGGAAGCAGCCGATCAATGATTCTCATCATTGATGTTTCTATCTCTCTCTCCCTCTCCTTTCCTCTCTGAAATAAAAAAAATATATATATTTTAAAAAATAAAGTGAAATAAATACCAGTCTGTGCGAACAGATCATTAGGAGGCTGAAGTTCACCACCCCTGCCCTTCAGCAGACCGCAGGCTTTGGGCAGAGGGAAAGGAAGACCGGGTTGCAGCACTACTGAAAATGTCGGTGTTGCTGGCTTGTGATTAGTAAAATAACTCAAGTGGGAGAACCCTGTGGGTCATAATTGTTTCCCTGCCCTGAAAAATGCCCATTTACTCTTCTCTGTGACTCCATGCCACCCAGCCGCCAGGGAGAGTCCATGGGGACCCTGGGGGGACCAACCTGCTGGATGAGAAGGTTGCAGATCTCCTGGAGCAGCACAGTGAGCCGCCCCGGGGAGCAGTAGGACTTGCACGTGGCCCAAATCAGACAGACCACGTGGAGCAGAGGCCGCAGCTTCGGCTTCACCTCCGGGAACTCCACGGCCTCGAGGGCTTCCAGGTGGCGGCGGAGCGGCATCAGGTGCGTGTGGATGTCCTTCGCCTCCATCAGAGCTGGAAGGAACGAGAGAGTCACCCTCCCTGCCTGGAGCTCAGAGCCACCAAGTTGGAGCCCTGGTGCCTGGGAAGAGAAGGATCTGAACTTCCTACACCAGGAGAGCCGGGAGAAGGCTGATGAGAACTCCCTATTAGTCTATATTTTTCTTGTTCTTTCCCCTCCATGATACTGTTGCCTCCCGTTTTCCACGGTTCTCCATTGTCCAATCAATTCCACTTCAGACAACCTTGTTCCCACACATTTTCCTACATTCCTTTGCCCTCCTTCTTTATTTGCCACTCTTTTCCAATTCATACCCACCAATTCAGAAATATTTCCTCTCCTCTCCTCTCTTCAGTCCATCAGTGAGCCAATGCAAACCCCTGATCTGACTAATAGGAATAATACACATCAAATGACCCTAAAATATTATTTTTCAGAGATCCCACCAAAATTTCTGACCAAGTCTCCACCTAACTCCTCTAACCAAAAGCTCTTTCCTTCCATCATCTGAATTGAGTTATATATTTCAAGGATTTTTATTTTTATAGCAGTGTTTACTATAACTTGCATTTTTTCTAATTTCCTTTCTTTGTCATTATATACTCTACTACAAATAACTTTTTGAAGCTGACATGGGGAAGCAAATCTTTTATAACAAAGACTAATGTGAACGATCATAGTCTATGAATCTATTAATGTGAAAAATATATTTGGAGCTCAAAATAACCAACTCATAAATATAACTTTACTGCACGTTGTTTGATTTCAGAGCCCAAATTACAGTCATTTGCATAGCTCCCTTATGATATTTGTCATGTCTGCATATGACCTGTAGTATTTACTCAAATGTTTTCTGAGTTGACTCCTATTTTAACCTAAATAAAATCATATAAAATGAAAACTTCAAATCACTAACATATATGGAAAACTGCTATCACCAAGAACAGTTACCTCTAACACATTTTATATATGCCTGTCCATATATCTCCTACAATAATTGTTCATTCCAATAGTGGCACACAAGCCCCTTTTGAGGGACACCTGTACCATTTGTCTTGAACTTAAATTGGGAACAACAATTAATTCCTCTGGGACACAAATCTCTCAGTGAAGCAATCAGCTGAAGCGGTACCTGTTCCCAGGCAACTCTATGTGCTGCAGGGCAGACTCCGGGGTAACATTTTAGGGTGCAGAGGGACCTCAAAGACAAGCTACTTTTGCCAGTTCTTCTCTGCTACAGGGCACATGTCAGAAACTCCACCACTGGAACTTCCCTTCCTGGGCTGAGCGGTTTCCAAACCCCACATCATGAGGAGAAAGTGGGGTGAGGGTTCCACACTGCGCTATGGACACAGGACACGCCCCTCTTTAACGGAGCAAATACGCCTTAATTAGTTCTATGTTTTGGACTTACAAAGAAAGTTGTCTTTAGAGAAAGAGCGCTGGTAGAGAAAAAGATGTTTGAAAGTCACTGCTTGGATTCAGCGTAAATCACGTGAAACTGCGAATACCTTTCAAAGCACATTCTGACCTACAAGACTGAAGAGGTAGGAGGAGGTCTGGGAAGAGAAAGGAAAGAAGCAAAGTGCCCGGAAAAAATTTACCTGCTTCTAATTATAGAATTTGCTGGCTCTGCAATTTTGACAAGGGCCAATCCTGCCTGGTGCTCAGACGGCCAGGAAATTGCAGTCCCTCTGACAGTAGGAATGGAAAAAGCAGAATGGAGCCAGCAGTGGAACAAAGACTTCTCCGGGGGCCAGGGCGAAGGGGCCTGAACCCCAGAGGTGAGAGATAACAACATGCATTGTACAGTGTGGCACAGTCAGCAAAACCCTTCCATCTCTGCTCCCTCACGGCCGCCCGAGACAGTGGGCAGGAAGTGTGTGCACGATATCACGGCACTCACTAAAGCCCAGGGGGGTTAGGTGTCATTCCCCAGGTCACAGAGTGGTGGAAATAGGTCGCTGCTGTCCTGCTTCTAGATCTGGCATTGTCACACTAAGTTGTGTCAGGTTGAGGGTCGTGAGGACTTGAAGCTGCTGAAATCAGAGAGAGAAGATAGTTCGGCACTAAATAAAACATTCAAGGTAAACGCTTTTAGGAAAATACTTGCTGCGCCTCACCTGCTGTGACATCTCTGCACATGGCTTGGAAGGTTGGGAAGTAGCTGCTCTGAAGCTTGTCCAGGAGCCCCGCCATGCCCCTCACCTTTATCGTTCTTAGTTGATCATAAATGTATTCCAGGTCCTCAGACCTGCAACGCCACGGAGGAGGGGAGTCCAGGTGAGCAAGGGGAAACTCAGTCCCACTGTGACCACCCACCCCCAGACAGAGAGCAGCGCTGCTCGGGGTGCTCCCCCAGAGGCTGGCTCCTGCCCAAGCGGCCAGGGCATCTGTTCCCAGGACAGCGAGGGCAAACGCCTGAGCGGGGAACATAGTTCAAAGGGGCAGCTCGGAGAGGCAACAGCGGGGGAACCTGCTGTGAACATCTGGTGGCTCCAGAACTTGGCAGCTGGAGGTCATCAGCTCTTGCAGCGAGGTGTGGGGGGAAGGGGGGAGAGGTGTGTCAGAGTGAGGCTGCTGGAGCAGGGCCTGAGGCAGGTCAGCAGAATGGTCAGAAACCATTTCTCCCAACAGAAACCAGGCGAGAGCACAGGACATCTCAGCATGGTGGCACCAACAGGGCACCATACCTGGTCATGTGATATGGACACTCCCCACTCAATAGGACAGGGACATCTGCTTCAAACATCTGTCTCCTTTTGAGTAAAAGATTAATCAGCACAATGATGAATAGGAACAAGGAAATGGGAAGGTAGAGCGGGAATCAGCAGGAGCAATAATTAGGTCTTTCGGGGACTGTGGAGCTGGCACGCAGTGGACGATGGGCTTTCTAGGCCTGCTAACGATTGGCTGGGACCTACGAGAGGCTATTCTGCAGCCAACTGTCAAAACCCCTCTTTTTCTTCAGATTCTTACAAAAAGTGTGTGTATATAGCCTTGACTACCCAAGGAGAAAGGAGTACACAGGTAAAAATACACATAAAAGAGAGTTAATTTTACATGTGGGTGAAAAAACCTTTGAAGAAATGTCAGAAGGTATACTGACTACAGCTCATAAAAGAAGGGGCAACTATTGAACCTTAAGGAAAGGGTACATCTTCTGGAGCACAGAAAACCTGTATGACCCAGACGACACTGAGCTGTCTGCTCTAGGGGAGATGAGAAACACATGGAGGTGGGACCAGATCCCATGGCTGGCTCCCGCAGACCATCATCCTCTGTAAGACGTCTACCTGCTCGCCAAGGTTTGAGCATGTGCCTACCTGCTCTTCCAGAACTCCAACTCCACCCAGGGGGTGGGGTTTTCTCCTTGGAAGAGTGGCTGGGAAGACTCCTTGTTGAGGACCGCCTGCACCTGGCGACTCCACTGGATCACTGCAGACTCAATGGCATAGATGACAGACTTATCCATGGAATCCAAGCTGTGAAAGGCACAATAAATCTCCTGAAACATCGGAAATAACAAGGCTAGGTGACCCGCAAACAAAATGCCAAATTTTTTAAAAACAGGTGGGGAATTCCATCTAGTCCAGGCATCCTTATCGCTTGTTGGACAATAGATTGATGGGTACTCAATTAGGAACACATGTCCTCTCCCCAGACAAAATGCTTATTTATGCATGCATGCATACACAATTATGCAAGACAGGGCCCACCAGCATGTTGGACAATAGATTGATGGGTACTCAATTAGGAGCACATGTCCTCTCCCCAGACAAATGTTTATTTATGCATACATGCATACACAATTATATAAGACAGGGCCCACCAGCACTCGGAAGGCTAGTTTAAGAATTTTAAATTCTGTCAATACAGAAATACATTGGACAGAAAACATTCGTATGACCACCCAACCCTTGCTTGAATCCCACTAAAGTCAGCAGCCTCCCAGCTTGACAAGCAGGGCATTACTCAGTGATCAGTCCTCCCTGGGAGAAAGTGGGTCTCTACACTGAACACATCTACCTCCCTCTGATGTCCTCATTTTAATCTTAGTTCTGACTTCTGCATCAAGAGGAAATAGGTTACTTCCTCCTCCACAAGGCAAACCATCAGTCATCTGAACACCAAAATTAACTTCACTTTGTCCTCACTTTCCCAGCAAAGAATGGGACTTCCAAGCATTCTGCTTCATATATCTTTTTAGTAATCAAACCAGGAGTACTTTGGAAGGCATTAAAAATAAAAATATATATTTTGGTTTGCCTTCTCACTAAGTCTTAAATGAAAATTGTTCATGCCAAGAGCCCAAGACCCAAGTGACAAAGAAAGGGAGTATATCATTCACATTTTCATCTCAGAAAACACCTCCACTTAATTTAATCAAATTCATATTTGCTGAGCATTGATAGTCACAAGTGATTACAGAAGGTATTAAAGGGGGAAGATACTCATCTTCCTGAAATATGACCCATCCTTTTGGGAAATTATCAAGTTTGAACTAAGGGAGATAAACTCAATAATGATCATATACACATACACTGAATGTTATGTTCAAATATAAAAGGAACAGGAAAATGGTAATTTGTACTTTTATTATGAAAATGGAGTATTTTTATTAAACTACAGTAAGTTTTCAGGTTAACTGGGAAATTGCTTCAAACTGTATATGTAGCAAATTACTTCCAATAGCAAAAACTCATTATAAAGTACATTGCCATCTCTTGCATTACTTATTCTTCAGATCAAACCATGGGCTCTAAATACACAACAATGACAGTAATACATTGGGAAACTCTGGCATTAGGGCCATCTAAGCTCATGCAGGAAGGTGCCTGTTGCCACAAATACTTTAGTCTCAGGCACCTGTGGCCAGTTGGCATTTGGAGATTTGCCCATCTTCTTTGATGGAGGTCATCCAACTTGGAAGTTGCCCACTTCGGCTCTCATTATAACCCCCTACCCCCAGATCCTCCTGAAAGGTGCATATCTAGTAATCACGGTTATCAGCTTGCATTTTGATTCCTGGCCAATCCTCAATCTCAGGTCTCTCTTATGTGGTCGTAGTAGCTCCCATTCATTAAGCACTATTCTGTGCTTTGCGCTGTCCTAAGAGCTTTAGAGCTGCCATCTCATAAGAACTCTGAGTATGAGGCAGGTGCTGAGGCCATCTCCAGTCTACAAATGGGAAAACTGAGGCTGGGAGAGATTGAATGATTGCTTCCGAGTGGTCTGGCCCATAGGTGGCAGAGCCTGTTTTAAAAACTAGGACCCAGAGCTTTGCGTTAAGTTCCATGTAACCTTGCTTCATAGCTATTGCCATTTTATGTCAGGCATTCAGAGAAATGACAGACATGGCGGATTCTGTCATGGTTGTCCATCCATCCATCCATGTTGCTGTGTTAAACCAACAAAACATTTTAATATTAGAATCCAAAACATCAAAAAGATGACTTCCTTACTACTACCAACAATGGCTTAAAATGAAATTGTCATGGGTATTTTTATTTTAGTGAACCAGCAAATGAAATTCTCACCTGTGTTTGAGGAATTCCCTCCACCGTGTTAGGAGTCGCCCCCGCCCTGCCCCCGCAAAAAAATAAAAAATAAAAAAATAAAATAAACCACCAATAAATCTTGGGTAGGATATAACAAAATATATCATTTAGATACACAGCCTGGCTTGAATGAAAAAGGAAAATCCCCATGGAACAGAAGCAAAGAAAGCTTGCAGCTGGCATGGTACACAGAATAAACGAACATGGCAAATATAACTCCTTAAAGGGGACGAGGCCGGGGTTCTGATGCCATCCAGGCACAGGAGGCCTGGACTCCACACTCCAACAAAGCCAGATTTGTTTCTTTTGGAAAACATCCCCAGGACCTGAGGAAAGTCTCTGGCTGCTGGGGGAGGAGGGTCTGAGTTAGTTCTATGATGTCATGTGCTGGGTGAATGCTGGGAAGTGCGTGGCTCTCTCCCAGGCCGGACCTGGGCCCTTGCCAATGATGAGACACTGTCCCCACAAGCAAAATACTGACATCTCTGTGGCTGCTCTCAGCCCTGGAATGATTCTGGACGGAAAATGGCCATAATGCTGTGATAGCTTTAAAAGACTTCAGGCTGAGGGACTGGGGCAAGGGTGGTAATCAGCATAGAACACACAGTCTGAGGATGTTGACAAACAGCAGAATAAGGACCTGTGCAGAGTCAGGAACAGAAAAGTCATAAAGAAATCATTCAGATAACCCAGTATCTCCCGTATCTGAGGCCCATATGCCCAGGCTGATGGCACTTACATGGTCTCACCCTCAGAATCCACAAACTCCATGTTTTCTGAGCCTACGGGAAGAGGCAGCAAAGTCTTCCCCCTCACTTGCTCAAGGAGAACCATGAGGTCACACTGGAGGCTGTGGGCGTGTCGCTGGACGTCTTGACATACCACAGGGGGCCAGTCCACGTGGTTCTTCCCATTGACCAAGATGGGGATCACGACCTGCAACAGAGGCACACAGGAAAGAAAGGCAGGCGTTCTCCTTCTGAGGCCTTAGAGAAAGACTATTCTTAGAAAGGCCTAAAAATCTATACTCCCCTTTTGCAAGCCACTGTGCTGTAAGGCCTAATATTAAGAACTAACATTAGGTACTGCCTTGACACCTGATACAATCAGGAGAGCCTCGAACAGCCTATGTCCCAAGTTTCCTTTCCTACTCGTCCTACATAACCACCCGTCTAACAGTCCTCCTTACCAAGGGGACCAGGGCTCCAGGTCTCTGCCGGCCAGCGGAATCATTCAAACAAGCCAATTGCATCCTCCCACCAGAGCCACTGGGAACCATGCACTCTTGATAGCACAAAGCTTGCCTCCCACAGCCCCTGGTTGCCGGAAGCCAATTCCAGCATGACAGCAGGGCTGAATCTTGGAATGGCTGATGGCATTTCCCCAAACCTGAAAAGGATATAGTAAACTGATTGTTTTCTATCGGACAGCTCAGGGCATCTTAATCTACATGTTATTGCCTCCTACTGGCCAAACACCTGAACAGCCGTAGGCTAATTCCCCCATTCTGACAATGGACTCTGTATAAGAAACCCTGACCCTTTGAAGTGTATATCTCTGCCTGGCCTCAGGACAAATTGTGTTAATAAAAAGCATGGGGTCCTGAGAGAAGGAGAACTTAGATCAGGGGTGGGCAAACTTTTTGACTCGAGGGCCACAATGGGTTCTTAAACTGGACCGGAGGGCCGGAACAAAAGCATGGATGGAGTGTTTGTGTGAACTAATATAAATTCAAAGTAAACATCATTACATAAAAGGGTACGGTCTTTTTTTCAATAGTTTTATTCATTTCAAACGGGCCGGGGTCGTAGTTTGCCCACGGCTGACTTAGATCTTAGTTGCCTTTAAAACTAGGCTCCTCTGACTCCCAAATGCCTTTCAAAATTATATTTAATTTCTGGACTCCTTCTCCAGATTCCAGAACCCTTCTAGATGATGGAACAAGAACCCCGGCACCTGGTTGTTCGCTCTGTTCCCAAGGGCAACCCCCATATCTCCAGATTCCAGAACCCTTCTAGATGCTGGAAGAAGAACCCCGGCACCTGGTTGTTCGTTCTGTTCCCAAGGGCAACCCCCATGTGGCCCTGTGTGGCAGGTGCCCTCCTCCTGTGAGCTGTGAGTGTAGGTGACTAATAAACTGCTGTCAGTCTCATTTGAACCGTCCCATCACCCTAGGGCAGGAGTCCCTACCTAATCAACAGGGTGAATAAGAGGTGATTAAAGCAGTCACAAAGGCCAGAGGCAAAGCATAGGACAAATGCAGGTGAAGGTGACCATCTGTCTCCTGTGGGGGAGGCGGCATCTTAAAAAGTACTAGTAAAGCAAAGGTGAGCATCCCGAAGCTGTCTGGAGGGTGAACATTAGTTAATTTTTGACACCCCAAAATAGTTCCTCTTCTTTTGGTTCCCATCTGCAGACCCAGAGGTGAAGACTGTAAGTAAATCTGAACCAATGAGAGTCAGGCCGAGTCTCCTATCTGAACTTTGGAGGAAGAGAGAGCTCTCTTTTCTACGAGTGGCCATCAGGCTACCCCGTGGAGCCTTTGGACAGGGTCAATCTGGAGAAGAGGGAGTTTACAGAAGGAGAAAGGCCAAGGCCTGTGATATCATTTGAGCTCCTGCTCTTGAACATTTGGAACTAGTTTAAATGGAGTTTTCTATCACTAGCAACTTAAAAAGTTGTCATTAATACATCTCCCTAGGAAACTGTCAGTCAAACGCTCACTCTAATGGAAAGGGAATGCTATAAAGAAAAACAGAAAATCCAGGAATGTGAGTAGGAACTGTTAAGTAAATAATGAAGAGTAAACATGGAGTTATGATTGGTTGGGCTCTCTATGTGACCAACAATTCTGCGTGGCCATAAAACAGGACACATGGATCTAACATGTGGCATCTAAGAGGAGGATCTTTGTCTGGTCTGTCTGAAAGTAATCATTGAGCTGAGATGTTATAGTCACAGGTGAACAGAGGGTTCCAAGGCATAAAATGTCACAAACTGAGCTCTTCTCACATTCATGTTGAGAAAGGACTCTTTGGACCTAGAGGAGAAAGGATAAATAATAGAGGGGAGAGAATATAAACAAGAATTTTTCTAAGCTCTCAAAGGCAGGTACTGTATCTTATTTGATCTTTATATACATACAATCCCCTCTTGAATCTGGCATATAGGATGTTCATAGAAAAACTGAACGCATTTCTGTCTCAAGAGAAAGTGGTAGATGGGTTTGAGTTGGACTTTGGAGGGCTTTGAGTGATAGGAAGATAATGAATGTGAACTTTCTATGAAATTAAAAGCAACTCATTCACTTATTCAATGAATATTTATGGAGCATTTACTATGTGTTAGTACTGTTTTAGGTGCTAGAAAGACATACCAGTGAACAAAACATGAAAAGATTATTGACCTCACAAAGTTTATATTCTAGTGGAGAAGTCACAATAAGTTCTGCATGGGGGGTGGTGGTGGGGAAGTAGGTGAGGAGGATCAGGGATGTGGGATGGAGGGGTTGCAATTGCAAATGGAGAGATTGGTTGAGGCATCATTGAGAAGGTAACATCTGAACAAAGACTGGAGATGAAAGTGCTATGTATATTCTTGGGGCAAGTGGTTAGAAGGAACAGACAATGCAAAAGCCTTAAGGTGGGAGTATGCCTGGAAGGATCAAGGAGCAGTAGAAGCTGGAACAAAGTAAGAAGAGTAGGGGGGAGTAAAGGGGGTCAAGTTACATGCAGCCCTGCCTGTAGAATTTTGATTTTTACTCTCAGAGAAATGGAAATCATTGAAGGGTTTTGAACAAAGGAGTGATATGATCTTTTTTCAGTAGGATCACTCCAGCTGCTGTGTTGAACCTAGACTCTAGGGGGCTAAAGTGAAAAAAGAGATAAGCAAGTTATTCCTATAATACAGAAGACAGTGGCTTGGCACAGGGGGGAGTGGAGGAATTAGTAAGAATTGCTCTGATTCTAATGGGGATGTGCCCGCAACCAAGGTACATGCCCTTGACTGGAATCGAACCTGGGACCCTTGAGTCCGCAGGCTGATGCTTTATCCACTGAGCCAAACCAGTTAGGGCTGTGATTTCTTAATGAATTTGTTGTGGGACTGGGAAAGGGGGAGAACAGCAGTGAGGATGACTCCAAAGCTTGGGACTTGAGCAACAAGAGGAATGGAGCCGCTATTAACTCATGTGGGGAAGAATAAGGTGGTGTAAGTTCTCAGGGGAAGTTTGGAATGTGTGCTTGGACACATTCGAATTTTATATATCTACTGGACTTCTCACTGGAGACACTGAGTAGCAGTTGGATATGGTAGTTGAGAGTTAAGAGGAGCAGAAAAGGCTGGAGGTAACAAGTTTGGAGGTGGCAGATACAGATGGTTTGTAAAACTCTAAAATTAAATGAGTACCCCAAAGGAATTGAGAAGAGGCCCAAGGAATGAGCCCTAGGGGTCTTCAATTTTCAAGAGTTGAAAGGAGAGGGGGTTATCTTCAGTGGAAACTGAGAAGGAATGGCCACAGCGACAGGAGGAAACCAGAGGACAAGGGTCCTGGAAGCAAGTGAAGGAAGTTCTTCCATCAAGAGAAGGTCATCATGAGCTGGGCCAAATCCTGCTCACAGGTCAAGCAGGAAAAGGACTGATAGATGCCCATTTAATCTAATCTAGTGGAGGTCATTGGTGAGCTTGACAAGCTCTTTACTTTCTCTCCTTAGCAGTATGAGGGTAAAAGCCTGATAAATGAGTATGAGATAAAACAGGAAAAGAATGAGACACAACAAGAATACTCATATTCTAGACATTTTGCTATGTAGGGGGTCATAGAAATGGGATGGTAGGTAGGGGGAGGAATGAGGATTTTGTTTGATGAGAATTATCTAGTGGAGAGGGAAAAATAAGAATACAGGAGACAGGAGAATTGTTGGTGCTACCTCCTCAAGATGAGAGTGGATGGGGTTTAGAGCAAAAGTGGCAGTTTTAGTTTTAAGGTTGGCAAAGGCTGGCAGCAGACAGTCCATCTGCAGCAACGGAAGGCATGGCAGGGTATATGAATACAGATATTGGCATATGAGGTAGATATGAGTTTGTGGAAATTTTTATTTTATTGTTTTCCATATTTTTAAACCAAGAAAGAAGCAAGAGCATCACAGAGTGAGGTTGAGAGAAGAGCTTTTGGACATTTGAGGGGGAAAAAAGGAAGTGTGCAATAGTGATTAGAAGAGCAAGAAAGTAATTAGAATAGATGTGCGGGGTGTCTGCTGGGGAGCATAAAAGTTGACTAGAGATTCCAGGTCCTGAGTTTAAAGTGGACGCTGTTCGTTTTTCATAAGCCGCATTCAGCTTTATGGGTACTGGGGTGGAGTAGGCGGAGTTGGGTTTCATCAGGGTTGTCATTTTGCCAAACCAGTGCAACAAAGCAAGGCAGACGCTAGTTGCGAGTTTATGCAAGAGAATGATGAGAACGATGGAGCCCAGCACTCAAGCTGGGTCAGGGGGCAAAGAGCACGGGTGTGGGTGAAGGGCAGTGGGAAGGCAGCAGGATCAACGGGTTGGAGGTGCTGGAAGGTCATGGGCTTGTAGTAGTGGGAAATAGGTGGGAGTGAGCTGGAAAGAGGGGAGCAGTGGTCAGAGAGGCGATGGTTATTGGTAATGCAAGGTCTTGGGAAGAGATGGTTAAGACAGAGCAGGGATAAAATCACTGGATGAGAAAGTTCAAGGAGGCCAGGTTATTGAAAGGATCATTCATGTGTCTGTTGAAATAGCCACATGTTAACACAGGAGTAACCTTGGCTCCCCAAGTCACCGGGAACTGGGAGCCCAATCCTGAAGGGGTGAGGGCAGTGCCATCAGTACATGATGCCGCAATGAGGACAGAGGGTGCCTTCATCTGATGGCATGAGACCTGAACTGGAGGCTTTCAACATGAGTCTGGAAGCAGCAAGGGGAAAGCAGAACACACAGCCCACCTCTAGGCTCAGAGGCAGAGAGCTGAGGGGGGAGTACAGCTGAGTACCCCAATGAGAACTGGATTTGGACAGAGCAAGGTGGCAAGGATCGGTCAGAAAAGTGAGGAAGCTTTCAAGTGGGATGCAGAGTGTCAATAATTCCTATCCTGTATGGATTACACTGCTCCAGGTGTCCTAATATAGTATTTCTAAGTTTCATAACAACCCTACAAGGTAGTTTGACCCTGACAGAGGTGAGCTAACCTGCTCACATCATGCTGATGAATTTGACAGAACCAGGAGTTGTGTTTTGTTTTTAATGTATCAGCATTTTTTATATTTATTCCTTCTATTTAGTTATATCCCTCTAGGTTGAAATACCCCAAACAGAAAATTATATTAAGAGGAAAAGCATTTAGTGAATAATAGAACATATTATTATCACATTTCCCCAATACTATTCATCCTATTTTTACCTTAGTACCCTTTTTTTAAAAATAAATTTTATTTTTCAATTATAGTTTATATTCAATATAATTGTGTATGAGTTTCAGGCATAAAGCATAGCAGCTATACAATCATATATAAAGCAATCCCCCCAATATTTATAGTACTCACCTGGCACCCCTATAGTTATTACAATACTAGTGGCCCGGTGCATGAAATTCGTGCACATTAAAAGGGGATTAATTAGAAGAAATATTTTAATATTGATATTTGCCCTTTCTCTATAATAGAAATGTCAGAGATGAAAGAAAATTAGTAAAATGTATATGAAAATCTTCCTCCTGTCAGAGTCTGGGGCGCGCCGCAGGACCCAGAGTCAAGTCCTCACCTACCCATGGTGCCTCAAAATCATAAGAGACCCAGACCTGGCTAGCCCCACCCTTGTCAAGCCCTGCTGGGCTGGGGGTGCAGCCTTAGGTCCCCCAGTGCACCCTCAGGTCCCCTGGCCCTGGCGCCGGGGTGAGGGGTGCAGCCTGAGGTCCCTCAGCCCGGTGCCAGGGTGGGCAGTGTGGCCTGAGGTATCCGGCCCGGCACCGATTCAGGGGGCGTGTCTTGAGGTCCCCTGTCAAGCCCTGCTGTGCGGGGGGCATGGCCTGAGGTCCCCTGTCAATCCCCATCGGGTGGGGGGCGCAGCCTCAGGTCCCCTGCCCCAGCCCAGGGCCACGCAGCCTCAGGTCTCTGCTGATTGCTCGTTAAGGCTCATTACAGAAATTCGGCCTCCGCTGTGGGCGCAGCCTTTGTTACAGAAACCCTGCCTCTGCTGTGGGCACTGCCATCTTTGTGACAGTGTGACAGCCAATTTGCATATTCCCTTTTTATTAGATAGGATTATTGACTATATTTCCTATGCTGTACTTTACATCCCCATGGCTACCTTGTGACTACCAATTTGTTCTTCTTAATCCCTTCACATTTTCCCCCAGCCCCCTCCTTCGCTGGCAACCATCAGTCTGTTCTCTGTATCTATGAGTCTGTTTCAATTTTGCTTGTGACAGAGCCAGCATTCAAACATAGGTCCATCACACTGCAAACCCCATGCTCTCTCTACAAACACAGACCTTCAAAACAGCATCCCATTTCAGAGCTCTAGATACATAAGCTGGCAGCAGGGAATAAAATGACTGGGAGGA